TGAACTTAAACGTGTCTTGACTGTTGTGTTTAAGTCTTCTCTGACAAAGTTGAACTTAGACGTGTCTTGACTGTTGTGTTTGGGTCTTCTCTGACAAAGTTGAACTTAGACGTGTCTTGACTGTTATGTATGGGTCCTCTCTGACAAAATTAGACTTGTCTTAAATGTTGTTGGTGGGTTCTCTCAGACAAAATTGAATTTAAACGTGTCTTGACTGTTGTGTATGGTTATCTCAGAGAAAGTTGAACTTAAATAAGTCTTGTCTGTTGTGTTGGGGTTATCTCAGACTAAGTTGAACTTAAACGTGTCTTGACTGTTGTGTATGGGTTATCTCACACACAGTTGAACTTAGGCTTGTCTTGTCTGTTGTGCATTTTGTACTTTAGGTTTTTGGTGCCTTCAAACATTTTTATTTTGTGGCTTCTTAAAGTTTCAGTCTCGAGCGTACCTGACGACAGCTGTCCAAGAAACACGCGTCGTGCACATTCGGTACCATACGTGTATATGACACACAAAGCAAGGTACGATTATTATTGGCTTAACTCATAATTTCTTTCATCTCTAAAACTTTACAATTGAAAGTTTTAGGAGGAGTGAATGCCAAGTCTTTAAAAAAAATCATTACCTACTATTAAACGGGTGGTATACGTGATACTGGAATTGACTTAGATTCAAACAAAGAGTCTTGATAAATCAATCTATTGGTTACAATGCACTAGTTACTATCGGATCTTTCTAACGAGAGCTGAGTAATTATTAGAATTATCATATATCATAACATTGAGGAACTATGCATTCATTTCGTTACTTTTTACCCAGGTTATGCACCTTCATGACATTCCGACTATTTAGCACTCCCATGTTTGTCTGCACTTACCTAGATATTTGAAATAAAAGCGTTCCTCAATGTTTTATACGCGCAGCATGTTTGGTTAAAATGAACGCAGCATGTTTGGTTAAAATGAACGCAGCATGTTTGGTTAAAATAAAGTTATAACTTATATATTTTAGTATAGTATCTGTCAATCATAATATTAAGGGATTGTATAGACAGAGTATTTCAGACAATAGTGCATAACTATCTCAGTCATCTGTATAATGTAGTGTATCAATATTTGCTGTTACATAACAAGAATTCATCAAATGCACATTCTGATAACGTTGCAGCATCAAATATGACGTAATAATTGGCTTCATCATTAATTCATTTGGCTGCTTTATTGAAAATCTTATGTAAGAACTTATCAGTCTGCTATGTTATTTTCCTCACATTTACCAGTTAAAACATATCAAGGAAGTCTATTGAACATGCTGTCTAATTCTAATTTAAAATTAAATGATTGTTGGTACGAAAATGTACAACAGTAGGAGGACATATTAATAAGTGTAAAAATGTCAGTCCAGATCATTTGACTTATAAGCAATTGAAATTTCTTACATATATTGTTACCATGTAAGTCCAAATGTCTGACACAAGTATGGGTATTTGTCAATAGATACATTGCAGCAAGGGACCGATGACAATTTATTTTTGGACTGACTCACTTTTGCAAACGTGACAAACCAAATGCCAAGTAGGATTAAGAAATTCAAGAACTTAGATAATGGCAAAAACAAAAAATAGAAACTTAAATGTATGTTTATATAGGGTGTCATCTCCTTGCTTTAGTTCTCCATTTTATTCTTTGTCATTCTGTATCGCCTTTGTGATTAATCAACCTAAGGGGTATATGCATTGCAAATGAACTGTTCCCCCTTCTAGCTATGTTCTAATTTAGTTTAAAATATGAAATTTTCCTACGTAATTCATGATACAGACAGGTTAGGGCTCGGCAGAACGAACAGAACAATTATCTTGATAATGAAAATGGTTATGCTTGTAGTCAGAAACTAAATTAATAGTATTTTCTGTACACACAGTTCATGTTAAGCTTAAAATTCTGTATCTATGGGTTGAAATGTTTCATTTACTAGAATTCATTAAGAAATAAAATTAACCCAATAGAATGTAAATTTTAATCACTTTATTAAACAAGTATCCTAGCATTTATTTTAAGTTTTATCGAACACCTATCATCCTGTGTCAAACAAATGTTTAAAAATGCATCATTTGCGTGAGGGATCCACATGTTTACATCTTAGTCCAATGCCACATCAAACAAAACCATATTGAATATAATAATTAAACATCTACTCGTTTAAGAAATGTAGATGCTTGGAGATCTTGTAAAACAAATGGCAACTCAATATTTGATTAAGGACCTCTTTGAATTTTCCAAACATAATATACAACATTTATTTGATTGTTGCAATATTTTACAATCGCCAACAACTTTCTGTCAAAAATAATATCAAAAGAAGACAAAACCAACTGCTACGAGACAGTTCTATGTTTATGTAACTTCATATTCAACTTTATTTGAAGCAAGATAAAGAACAATTTCAAAACCAACGACACAAAGACAATACATGCACCCATAAGTACATTTTGTACGAGAAGTTCCCTCCCAAAGGTATGCCGTTATGGTTCTCGACATGTAATCAGGCAGGCATTTGTAAGTAGTCTAACCACAAGACAAAGCTTTATGGCAGTACTACAGCTTTGTTCGCGAATTATTCAATATCATTTAGAGTACAAATGAATTGCAGAAATCTCATTATTGACATTAAAGTAATTTATAGCAGCAATAAGGTAGTAACTGTCATGGTGGTAAGCCATAGAGGTAAGATATTTACAATCAGGTTTTTATGTTCCAACGTTGGCATATGGCAGTTGATTGTTTACAATAGAAATACACGTACTATAAATCATGAAGAAAATTGTTACAGGTACAGGAGCGAGTAAAGTTATATAAAATGTTTATGAATATTGTATTATCTAAATCTATTGGAAATCGTACTATTTTTAATTCCAAAAAATAAAAAATACTCGTTTTGCGAAAGCATGACATAAATACAAATAGATATTGAACTATTTCAATTTTTAGGACTGATGACTAACTTGTGTGACTGTCATTGGTGCTTATCAAAAAGTTATCTCTAAATACTTCTTTTTGTCTCTTTCATTCTTTATAGATAAAAGGAAATCACAACACAATTAAACAATGACATCCAAAAGGCATTTCGCTCTTTGTAGCATGTATTCATTATGTTCAACCAATTTTTTATTCACATGCTGATGTTTTCCTTTCGTTGTTGTATGACCTTCAAGAATAACAGTACTTTGGGTCTGATTTTTTCAGTTTGTAGTGTTCGGCCAAAAGATGGCTATGAATGAGAGTTTAATCTAAAACGTTATTTCTTACTTTGTACAATTTCTTAAGCTTTATACCCGAAATGCATGCTCCTTAGAAAGTGTTAAAATAGAACATATCCACAAAAACGAAATATTACATTCGATTTAGCAGAGAATATATCTCGGGATGAGAAACCAAAAGTAATAATTTGCTGTTAATAACAGCGATTGTGCACTACTTCTCAAGGGAGGAATATATACTGGTACTTAGATTTGAGAGGAACTAGGAATTTTATTAGCGCCCGTTACACATCTTATTGTGAATGTGCAAACCTTGGATTTTTGTACACATGTTATTCTCTGTTCAATTTTAGCCTTTACGAATAAAACTCCGATATGAATAATAAGAGATGTGTGATACACGTCAATGAGACAATATCCCCCCAAAAAACCTAATGAACCAACAAAATAAGTTAGTTTTAAAAACAAACGGATATTGTATACACCTTTTTGTAAAGTGATAAGCGTTAAAATTTGGTACATTTGGTAAAAATATAAAACTTTTGGGGATAAACTTTGGAGTTTAATGCGTTATAGTTATTTCCTTTACAACATTTGTATATAAGAAACATTGGAGTCTGACATTATAAAATCGTTACTGAAAAGTTTAGTTGGTTGTTAAAGAAGAGGGACGAAAGATACCAGAGGGACAGTCAAACTCATAGATCGAAAACAAACTGACAACGCCATGTCCAAAAATAAAAAGACAAACAGACAAATAATAGTACAGATGACACAACATAGACAACTAAAGACTAAGCAACACGAACCCCACCAAAAACTGGGGGTGATCTCAGGTGCTCCTGAAGGGTAAGCAGATCCTGCTCCATATGTGGCACCCGTCGTGTTGCTTATGTTATTACAAATCCGGTAAATAGTCTTATTCGGTAGGTCACATCCGTGAAAAGGGAAGGGTATTGTAGTTACGACATAAGGAACATATCTGATATCAGCTGTGAAACAGTTATTCCATAACGGTCAACCAACTAGTGATGGCGTCCGTAAAATTTACGAAGGGATGATTTCAACTTCACTATTTGGAACTCTTGGTTTAATAGCTTCCTTGTGAGCAGCAATCCTCTATCAAGGAAATCATGATAGGAAATACAAGCCCGGGAATATCGTATCAATTGGGAGATATATACTCCGTATGCAGGCGCTGCTGGAATGTTGCTACATAGAAATGGAAAATTCACAATTGGAAAGCTGAAATCATCTCTTTTGTCGTAAAGTTTTGTTTTCAACCGACCCTCATTGTCAATTTCTAGATGTAAGTCAAGATATGAGACAGACTTAACTGTATCTGTAGTATGTTAAGTGAACCTCAAGGGACTTTTTACCTATGGTAAATTTCAAACAGTTTTTTTCAGTCATCCTTATGTTACCTGTGAATTTATTTAATAAACAAATATAATATTGATTTCACTGTCCATCTAGCTATTAAGTAAATTTAACTTTGATTTCACTGTCCACCTAGCTAATAAGTAAAGTTAACTTTGATTTATTCTTCTTTGTAAACATTTGAATATATATTGATTGATTGGTTGTTGGTTGCTTAACGTCCAGTGTTTAAATATAGAGACTATAGCTATAATATGCATGAAATATTTGCCAATGGACGTTAACCAACCAATAATAATCAACAAATGACAACTATGGAAAAGTGTTGACCTTCATAAAATCTTCATTAACTTTTCTATTATAGGTTTACCGGCTGATAAAGTCGAACTTTATAAGGCAGCAAGAACAGCAATTTCATACGGAAAAGATGGCGATGGTTGGGTAATAAATGTTGGCTTGGTTGGTGTTCCTGGTGGCAGAGAATTTAAGTTTAACTTAGGTCAGCCTTATGACTCAGCTGATATAGACGGTTCTCCAATGAAGGTATGTATGTATAAGGTGTTTACGGCAAATCGGTAAAAGTGTTTCTTATAATTATTTACTACTGTTCAAGAATCGTGGTAATTTAGACCTTGACATGTGATAAGGACTATATATATATTCTAGGATTTAGTGCTTGTGCATAATAAAACGGACTTATCCTGCTCGAAATCCCACTTCCACCTCCTCGTTGGTAAGCAGGGGACTTAGGAAGGGGTACTTGTACTTGTAAATAATTGAATAAATTAATAAATAAATAAGTATTATTACCTGTGTTTACATGAGTTTACCTGAGTTTACCTATCAAATAAATGCGCGCAAATGTAATCAAAAGTTGCGCGCAAACGTAATGATTTTTGCGCACAAATGTAATGGTAATGCGCGCAAACGTAATGCACCGCAAAGTACAATACATTAAATTGCCATATTGTGAATTTTGATATGATTGGAAGACTTTTATTAAAAATGTCCGTAGTGTGAAATGAATTCAGGGGAAATTGGCAATACCTCTTTAAAAGCTAGAGCATGAGATAAATTATTTAGACATTAGACGGATAAAATGTCGATATGAAAAAATATTGACAAAAATACCGAACTCCAAGCTAAATTCAAAAAGGGGAAGTCCATAAAAACTGACAAAATGAAACATTAGACTTTATCAACCAATGGAACGATTGGAAAACATCTGTCATATTCCTGATTTGGTACAGGCATTTTAAAAAAAAAGGTGGGTAGAACCTGCTTTTATAAACAGCTAAACCTTTCACTTTATATGACAACTGTTTTTAGTTATGTTTTATTGACAAAGTTTGATGAACAACCCGAACAGACACAATAGTTTAATGTGACAATAACTTGGACCCAGTAGCCAAAATTTGTGTAAACATACATCACAAATATAAAAAACAACGGACTAAAAAATTCAAACAAACAAATAAATCTAACAAAAAATATTTTTACTGATATATTTTAGAGTTTAGTTAATGCTGATAATGGGAAACTGATAGAACAACACACAAATCAGTCTCTAGGAGCTGAAATGAATATAGAACGATGGATAGAAAATGGACAAATGCTTGTAGTAAGTATTCATTCTTTAACTCTAAGGAAATATAAGTGACAAAAAAAAAATTGTTGAATTGAATGTCAAACATTGGCAAACTATTTCTAAGACCAAGCATACCACAACACGTTATAACGTAAAACAACGAAATTATTCATTTTCTCCCAAAATTCATTGTTAATTGACTTCTTCGATGACATCCATTATTTTTGTTCGAACGATGATCAACGAACAATTCAAACCATGGTTACACATATTCTTCAGATACAATTGAAAACAAACTTATATTAAGCCGAATGTATATAAATCTTGGAAGCTGAAAAACAAAAATGCAAAAGAATAAAAAATAGAACACCTTCTAAAGATCAACTATCCCAGGGTAGATGCAACCTTACTTTAGTTTTTGATCGATGATTTTTGAACGGAAGAATTGCCAAAGAAAAACATCAATTTAATACATCAGAACCGTAGGACTGATAACTTGGTGGTTGTTACCATCATTGTCTAATTGTCAGTTAAAATATATATTATTTGATATATCTGTACAATACTGTCCATCAGAGGTTTAGCACTCCATTTTTATACATTAAATACGATGTCCACAGATCTATGTATTTTTTCGTCATAATCTGGAATAAAAGCAGAATAAAAAAGCCCTGAGATTTCCATTTGCAACTGAATTTTACAGTTTGCTCTTGTATTGTGCTGTTACACCACTATCCTAGGTAAGAGGGTGAGAGCTCGCAAACATATTTAACACCGCCACATTATGTATGTGCTTGTCTAAAGTCAGGAGTCTGCAGTTCAGTAGTTTTCGTTTGTTGATGTCTGTCATGCATTTTTTTTCAATTGATATTTATAGATTATCGTTGATCATCTCAACGAGATTGATTTTCTCGCTAGAGCCGGTACGGCGAAAGTGAGAAAAACAATCGAGTTGAGATGACCAATGATAATCTGTTTATCGCTATTTTACCTATGACGACGTTGTTAATTTCATTGACAACGGCACGTGCGCCCTAAGTTTCTAGCGATAATTTTTCATATCACTCTACTGTGCTGAGAAAGGAAATTATCAGTCAGCAAGATCAAAGGAAAATTTCGCAAAATAGCGATAATTGTACATAGATCATGTTTTCGTTTTTCTCGTTTGAATACACCTTATCGCTATTCCCGGCTGACCCGAGAATCTTTCCCGCTTGAACTATTGACGTCATACAACAATCACTTTTCCATTGTGGCGTCAGATATTTTGTATTATGACGTCAAAATTTTACGGGAACCTGTGTGATGTCCAGTAATGGCGGACAAATAGCGATAAGGTATATTGTTATGTCGGGGCCTTTTTAAAGCTTACTTTATGGTATTGGTTTTGCCCACCGTACTATGACGTTGCTTATATCCACGTCATTTGTGGTTTCTAGTGAATAGATATCTCAATGGCAATCATAAATCATCCTATTATTAGATATTTCCCTTTTCATTATAAGTTGACCACCCTTCTTACTCGGTTCTTGATTGTGCTCTTAGTTTCTGACGCCAAATTATCGAGGATATTGCATCATTATCTAGAAAAAAAGAGAATATATTATAAAATTGTAATAAAAATATATCACTCTTTTCATTAATGACGTATACTTTTATGATTACTAAGTTATAATATACCTACATGTATGTATGTTTAAATGCATTATATCATTTATGTAAAACGTCTCTTTTATTCTTTTCAGAAGACATCATGCTCGGGATTATCAATGCTATCAAAATATGCTAAAGTATAATGAAAGACAAATAGATTTTCAAACCATTCGATTTTTTTTGTATGAAAATCATGAATGTTATTCAACAAAAAGCAAAGTAAATGAATCACAAAGTATGCTTGATATGGGAAAGCTGTAAAGAAACTTTCGGCTCATTTCTCATTAGTTATTAATATGCATATCATCTATGTGTCCACATTACCATTAAGTGCTGTATATGTTGTTGCAGTCGATGATGTTTATACTGTGTGCCTTCGTCGTCAAACGACATTTGAAACATGCGTTATTTGTTTTGTAGTGTTTACATTCTTAAAACGTCCAGACTTTGAGAGGATAGAAATGATACTTCGTCATTAACTATCTCACTAGATATTCTACTATAACGTAATCTGAGTATGTTGACAAAATTAACATACGATGTTGTTAATTGGCTTGTTCCTCTAAAACTTACACGTTCATGAAGGCAACAAAAAGGGTACATAAAAATGAAAAGCACTATCGAATTTGGTTAATGCTACTTGAAAATCATAACTCTCGAGTTGAGTTTATTCATATGGCTAAAAGTGGAAAAGGCGTGAATCACACACAATAAAAATAAGAAAAGGTAAATGAAAAGTAAGATCAAATAATATGAGCAACATTTTATTGATGTTCTTAATAAACGTAGTTTCTAAAATCCCTGCAGCAATGACCTAATATCATGATAATCCTATGATATTCAATATAATGAAATTTCGCATGACGTCTTCATACAAGTATGCATTCGTAGATTATTGTATATCTTTACACCAAAGTGTCTTAACTGTCAAATTCGTTTAAAGAGAGTACCAACTAATAAATTTACCAAAATAAGGCAATCAGTCGTCGCGACGTTAAGGCATCAAAAATCAATCAACCAATCTGAATAATCAATGGACAATAACATGCTCAAAACATAGCAACAGGTTAAGAAATGCTAACACAAATTATATCTAATCTGAATGTGTGTCGAGTTGTCAAATGCAATATAGTTATTTTTAGAGTAAAATACACGGCAATGAATTTAGATATGATCTAAATAATTAAAACTACACCGTGAAACATCCTCGAAGAAAATGTGGCAGAATTGAATTAAAGTTTAATTCAAAATGAATATGAGAACAGCATGTATTTAGATGTATTTTCCTTGGTATTCACTGATTTATATCTTCGAATAATTATTTACAATGCTAAAGGCTTCGGCGTATAAAGCGTATATTTTGAAACTTACTATTATGCTTTTTCAAATATCAAGCTATTATGTTACCAATCAAAACTTGTTTTCCAATGATTTTATGATATTGTCTCCATCAATCAGTATTTCTGTATTTTAAGAACAAAGTTGTCTCAGCTAATCAGAAATGTTTTATAAAAAATGATTTATCAGTCTTTGTCAATTGACGTGTGTGATTGTTGCTTATATCACGTTAGTGTAATTGGTGGAATAGTTGTCGGCATATTTATCTTATTTTCTGTTGTTAACAAATAATGAATATTATTATATTTATTAAAAGCTTATCAAGTTAATATGTTTGTTTTGTTTGTTTGTTTGTTTAGGTAACCTATAGTCATCGACCTCAGTAGTTTAGAACAACTAGCTGGGGCACGAATGTAATGAAGCTACTTTTCATAATAGCAAAGTAGTTTTCGGTGATCTTTATGATAAGTTAGTTTTGCAACATAAATCAACGAGCTGGTAGTGTCTTTTTCGTTCGTCTTAATCTTTTCAGCACTGTAAATCTAAGTGTTAATAAATAGAACACTGCTTGAACGCTTTTTTGTAACACTTTTTGAACGTGTAATGGTGTTCCAAATGTTTACACTGCTTACATCAATTGAATGTGTGGTGTTCAGTTTTTAATGCCTTTGTGTTTCATTTTTGAACACTTGATGTTAGAGTTCTTAACACTTAGTATTCAACGATTTAACGTGTCCGAATGTTCAAAATCTTAATACGTCGACGCGTTCAACAGCCATGTAACACTTTTTGAACACATAGAATATGTTTAAAGCCAAAGTGTTAAGATTCAGAACACCAGACGTTAACTTTCAGAACAATTGACATAAGTGTTCAAAGTGATGGTGTTCAAATGTGGAACATGTTCTATTTTCAAGCGTACATAATTTTCCATAAGTACTCAACTTAAATAAACTGTTATAAAAACTATATTCAATCAGGCAAAATATAACAATAAAACATATTTTAACAAGTAATTCTTTATGTAATCAAATGAGCATATTATATGTAAGAAAAGTACACCAGATACCTTATGATATCACAAGTAACAGTCAGTGAAATCACATACATAATGTTTCTAAACTGACTTAATATATATCACAAATAATGATTTTCCCCTACATGACTAGATAGTTGCAACATCATTTGTATCCTAACCAAAAAAGCATGTCAATGTGATAATTAGATAGTTTATGATATAGGTATTTGTCACAATGAAAGTTTAATTCCAACAGTTCTTGTACGATCACATACAATGTACGCTCCACTTTTCAGTGCATCTTCACTTAAAGCTATCAACTGGGTGGCATTTTATGTGTTGTTATCAACTTCCAATGTCAAAATCCTCCACAACAAGGAATGTCTATGAGCCTATATATCCTGCAAAATAAAATTAGAAATTAATAGAAGAGAGTTTTATTATAAAGCATCAAATTATGGAATGCTTTTTATGCTTTAATGTCGATATATACTAGTGTACAAATTGATATTCTATAGCAATGAAATGCAAGTTTTGACATTATAAATTACAAAAGTCGATTTCTTGACCTAAGGTGAACAGATAGAAATGATACACCCACATAAGCTATTAATATACATATATTGTCATACCTTTTTTCGACATCTTTCTTTTTTCCACCACTTTATAGCATGCAGAAATGACCTTTTTGGGATTATTGGCTACCGGTTCCTAATTCAAACACTTAATCTAACGATTCCTGCAAATAAAAAAACAAATGCATTTTCTAAGTCAAAAATGGTGTTCCAAATGTTTGCACTAGTGTTCATCAATTGAATGTGTGGTGTTCAGTTTTTAATGCCTTTGTGTTTCATTTTTGAACACTTGATGTTAGAGTTTTTAACACTTAGTGTTCATCAATTGAATGTGTGGTGTTCAGTTTTTAATGCCTTTGTGTTTCATTTTTTAACACTTGATGTTAGAGTTCTTAACACTTAGTGTTCAGCTAATGTATGTGGATGTCGAAAAACACCATTTATTCTGTATAAAAGACAGACTGTTTATTCATCAGTTTAGGAAATCATCAGAAAAAAGCTGACAGTTATTTACGTTTATATCTAAAGCCCGTTTTTTAATTGGTCTTTTATGTTGAATATTGAAAATTTGGATATAACAGTTATGAATATTTGACAAATATATATCTGGCATGAGAAAATAACAAGGAAGCCATCGAACTACCTATGGAGATTATTCTAACTTGATACTTACTTCTTTCGTGTTCATATGGGATAGAAGTCCCTTCTCCAGTTCTCTTTCTTATGTGTATACATTCTTCGTTTAACCGCCTTAATCGCCAGCCGATATCTATTTCCGGTATTTGGTATCCTGGTATATTTTTTTTAACACGAGGTGTTCAAAATTTCGAGCGATTTGAACACTGATTGAACATGTAATGTTAATAAAATGAACGGATCATGAAATAAGATAAACATCGACATATTTTTATTACGATATTATCATAACAGGCCTCATTGATATGCATAATTATGTCACTTATAAGTAAAACTAGTATATATAAATAAATAATAAAATAAATTCATAAACTATACATATATGCCAGCTTGGAAGTTTAATATTTCACAATTACTAAAATATTAGCCAAAAATTCACAAGATCATCATCCTGCGTATGCATTCATATTTTTTTAAAGAATTTCTTTTTGAATTTGCCAATTGGAAGGATAGAAAATCGGACAAACGACTATCTTCTTTTTTAGATCAGAATTTGAACACCGGTGTTCACTGCGTCTGAACACACATGTTAATATTTTTAACACAAACGTTAAAACTTTGAACACGTCTCTAAGCATGAACATACGACGTTAAAATATTGAACATTCGGTGTACAAATTTTGAACGCGTCCGGACGCGTCAGGCGTCAGGTATATTTACAGTGAGGCTTTTATGGTTTATCTTTGTATCCTCTGTATCGTATAAATTTCAAATTTGATGTTATTTTATTGATAGCAAACATACAATTGTAGTATGCTTTCATGTGTAGTAAAGTCTTCTTTTTCAAAATCTAGTAGTGAATCCGGACGTGAGAGCCAACAACGTTTCAATTATCTTCCGATATTCTAACAGAAAGGGTTACAAAAACAAAATTGCACCTAAGCTCATCCCTGAAACGTGTTCTCTTATGATGACCAGAACCTCTCTTCAGACAGAGAGTGCGCAATGGAGTAACGTTTTATCTTTTAATGTTTAGCACTGGAGTCTAATTTGACTACTTGATTTGCTTTCTATGTGAATCGAATGATATGATTTGCGAATGATTTTAAAATAACTCTAATCACTCTTAATTTCACGACTTAATAAGACGAGGGAAAATTCTGTTCTGTAACCTATTAGTCCGTGAATATTTATCTGTTAGTGTAAGTTATGCAAGAAAGTCATGCCGTATTGTAAGGTTTAGAATCCGTGAACATTTAGCTGTTAGTGTACGTCATGCAAGAACATCATGCTGGTTTGTAAGATTTTGAGACCGTGAACATTTAGCGCTGTCAGCGTACGTTTTGTATGAACATCATGCTGTACTGTAAAGTTTTGAGTCCGTAAATATTTAACTGTCAGTGTACGTTATGCAAGAACATCATGCTGTATGGTAAGGTTACGAGCCAGTGAACATTTAGCTCTCAGTGTACGTTATGCAAGAAAAGCATGCTGTATTGTATTGTGAGGTAACGAGCCAGTGAATATTTAGCTCTCAGTGTACGTTAAGCAATAACATCATTTTGTGTTGTAAGGTAACGAGGCCGTAAACATTTAGCTGTGAGTGCACGTTATGCAGGAACGTCATGCTGTATTGTAAGATTACAAGCCCGTGAACAATTAGGTGTTAGTGTACGTTATGCAGTATCTTCATTCTGTATTGTAAGGTTATGAGCCAGTGAACATTTAGGTGTCAGTGTAAGTCATACACAAACGTCATGCTGTATTGTAAGGTCATAAGTACATGGGAATCTAGCTACCATTGTACCTTATGTAAGGAAGACATGCTGTATTTTAATTGACAATAAAAATATATCATTAGCTCTGGTACAATTCTACAAAGATGACCAAGGATGAAATATTGACACATCAATAAAGATACGATGATAGGAACATTTCGACAGCCAATGCTCCAATGTCCTGAACGCAGAGCTCTATGTAGATTTAACCGACTATGACGTTTATTTAATGTGATGGCAGACGACAAAATTGACCACATTAGTATCATAGTATTTATATCTATTTTACAAATTAAGACAACAGTAGTTTACCTATGTTTAGATCTCATAGATCGGTTAAAGGTAACAAACACAAACTGAGGGAATGGCATGATTTCCAACAGGGGCGAGACCGGGTGCGTCGTTTGTGTGTAGCGACACAGTATCGGTAAACAAAATTCGTGATGGTGAGCTTAAAACTTATATAATCACGTTCCCTTTTCCCGAATGTGACCTACCGAATTAGACTTATAACCGGGTTTGTACTAACATGAGCAACACGACGGGTGCCACATGTGGAGCAGGATCTGCTTACGATGTATTTATTTTGGGAATCAGTGTGGTTCTTTACATTGTTAGCTTTTAATGACCCAGTGTAGACATGTTTTTAGGATCGCAAACATAGACTACAAATGGTTACACATAAATAGATTATCCGCTATTTTATTTCGACAAATATCATTTACATCAAAATGATTATGAAATATATATTATGATAAATATTCGGATGCTTAAACATATTAACTTCCTAATAAAAGCTGTGAATGACATAATACTACACGTCAATTCCTGTTAATTCAATAGACACCGATTCTTTTAGAATCTACACTGGTATTGTTCAGGACAGTTTGTAATCCTTGATAAGATATATAATGGATTTTTCGTTCCCTTATTAATCTATGATGATTTACACGCACAGATAGTGCCACTAGGTAACATAATTAATTATGCTAACTACAGGAGATATACATTTAAATGTTCATTTGTTATACTCTTTTTTAACATTGATATCAAAACTCTAAATGCAGCTGTGCTGTATATATCATCAGACAGTCATCTCTGATTCAAAATAGCACAGGAATGTAATTACATAACTATAGTTAAAGTTACTAGAAGTGCAGTTAGTTGAAAATGTCATGCATTTCAGACATCAGAAAAGAAATCTCTGGAACACATGTTTGTTATAAACAAGACATGTTAGTATTTTGTATTATTCGTTAGAATTGTCAATTTAAATATATAATTGACATATCATTTCAGATTTGTATCAGTTTTCGTATGAA